ACAATAATTAACCCGAAATGGCTGCTAAATAATTATGCTGAAAAGATACAAAGTATTTGTGCAGAAAGTAAAATCAGCATTTGAGAAACCATCAAAACGTACAACTTTCCTATTTTATGGCAAAGCATGGTAATAGTTCATAATCAAATTAAGGATGAAAAGGAAAGATGTAGATTATATGCTTTGATGCAGAATACTTTATGTTTCCAATATAGCACGGTATCCAAGCTAACAATGCATCCTCAGTCATTTTAATAAATCCCTAGTATTGCTATTCCAGATAGTAATATAATGTATTCTCATGAAGTCAGTGCAGTTAGGAACGTAGTAAACCATCCATTAATAATATTTCTCTGCCATCTATCTATTGCATTTCATTCCAAGGAATCAGAGCCCTGTAATAATTTATAGCTTATGGAATTAATGCTGAAGGCTTTCTTCTGGCAAGCATTGTTGGTTTCAATGATGAGAGCTAAAAGCTATTCAGGCCCAGCTTCTTTCTCTGGACACATCCCAGGCCAGATGCATTACCGACCTATTGTTTGTGGAACCATTTATACCAGCACAAAATCATTTTTGATTTAGCTCCTCTGCTTGTCGATAGTGCAAGTTAGGGACGAAGCAAGCTCTGTGTGCCCTGCTAAACAGACACAGGATGGGTTTGTCTACATGGGAAACAATCTGAGTTAACTAAGGATGTGATTTGAATGTGGGTTTCTATATACAACTATATTAAGCCCATGTGGACTCACTCATTCAGAATTAAAATAGCTCTAATTCACTTTAATCTAATTCACTTCCAAAGACCACAGAGGGGTTTAAAGTTGTTTAATCTATTTGAACAGCTCATTTGAATCCACATGCCCGAGTGTCCCCACAGACACTCACACAAGCAAACAAAAACCCAATAAAGCAGTAGAGAGGTTAAGAGAGGTTGGTTGGCAGAAAGTTTTACTTCATGGCTTTTTGGTGGAAAATTTGGTTTTCAGCCTCATAGTCTCTTTGAAAAAGGTGTTGACATTGAGCCTTCCTAAATTTCAGCTGGAAACCAAATTCCTTTTCTTTTAGAAATTAGAACTGCTGCTGCAATATTATTTGGTTGACCATCACATATCCCCATAGTCTGCAGTCCAAGTAGTTATCCCAGCACACTGTTGTCAGGGACAGCCAGGATGACAGATAAACCAAGGTTCATCATCAGAGAAATGGATTTGGAGCCAGAATACATGTTTACTGTCTTAGACCAAACCACATTTGGCCTTTGATTTGTTGTTAATAATCAAGATTTTGAATGCAGAAATAACTCTCTCCCCTTACCCACTACACACCCAATCAGTCCTACCTGAAAAAGCTTTTCCAGTAGCCCATCCTCAAACTGAAAGGTTAGGTGGTGTTTGCGATAGAACCAAACACTCATCATCTATTTGGAGGCCATCCACTCTCTGATCTTGTGCTAAGCTCTTGGAGGAATACAGATGCAGCTGAAGCCTCAGTTTAAAAGTCACCAAGTCCTGGCATTTGGGTCTCGTTAGAGGAAAGGGGGGGTTTGAAGGGGCAACAGGGTCTCTGTTCACAGGCTTAGGTGAGTGTTGGCAACAGGCATGTTAAAAAAAAAAAAAAAAAAAAAGCCAGTACTTTTGAAAAAGTAATTCCTAATTTTTGAATTCTGTAATTTAGTAAAAATGCTTCATTACAGCAATTTAAGTACTCCTGGCCAGAGAACATTAATATGAATGCATTTTCTTATTCACTTGAATTACCTCTGCAATTCCTGTATGTTTTCACATGAAGTCCTAGGGGTTTGCATGTGTAGCCAGCAACATGCACAACTCAAGCACGCCTCTGTGAAAATTTGGCTCATTTACAGCTACCTTCTACATACTTTAAGTTATATTTTGGATTTTGACATATAAGACAAATAGCCAACAGACAAAGAGCATATTTATTTAAAAAAAATAAAATTCTTTTAATTGCTCAACCTACTCCTGCCTGAAAAATAAGTGCAAGCTATTACTGGCACCAGACAACTCCCAGTTTTCACTGGCCAGCAAAGCTGCATCTGCAAGTTCAATGAGATCAGTAAACAGTGTAGGATAAGTAACTGATTGCTAATATTTTCCTTCAGCTACAAAACTTTTAAATAAACAACAACAACTGTGATCACAGTAACCTTCCAGAGGTTAACAGCATGCAGGTGGTCAATTGGAATTAAATGCAATCCAGACGGCTGTGGCATTATAAACTGAACATCTCCATTCAGTTTGCTTCAGGAATTGTGTCTTCTTTCTCAAAAGCCTCAATGATACAACACATAAATGTCAAAATGACAAAAATAAGGAAGTATGTAATAGACTAAGCATTTTAATGCCTTTTCTGGCTCACTTTTGCAGCCTGAACTGTCTGTGTTGACCACATTTGATGGCATCAGTACTTAGTATGGCTGTGTGCATGAGTTTTTAACAGCTGACATAAACAGAGATGGCCCATCAACCAACTGAGCTGTGCTGTGGGCTTGTTGTAAACCACTGGTATGACACATTTTATACTTCATTTATGATGCCACTTCACTGACCTTGAAAGACTGCTCAGAGTATTGGCAATCAGATGTTGAACTGGGAGCAGGTTCAAATCCAGCTAGTGATGGTATAAACACTGATAAGAATGAATTCAGAATGAATTATTATCCATAGAAATGGATCTCTGTAGACTTTTTTTAAAGCATGTCTTTCAGTCTATTCCTAAGCTGAGTGGAATAGCTAATACAATTATTGACCACTGAGAAACTTATTTGAAAAGTCCCCCAGAATAAGCAGATTTGAGTTACAGGAGCTGAGAACCATCTTGTCCAGCACAAATGCTTGCTCCAACATCATCAACAGGGCCTGTGAAGGAAATCTGATGATCCACATACATCATCACTGATAGGGATTCCTCTTAGAGGACGGAGCAAAAATTACCTGTGTGGTTCCCAAACACACTTAAACTGAGCACCTGAGAAAAGTAACATAAATTTGGCTCACAGTGGACACAGCCTAGCAGAAAAGTTCCTACTGGAGGGGAAAATAAAACACAGGAGAAACCTTGAAAAGGCCTTCATCCCACATCAAGCTTTTGGTAAGTGCAGCGCACAAAATATTTGCTTTAACAACTTCTAGAAAAGTGCTTTTCAAAGCCAGAATCTCCTGCTTCCACACCATCCTATCCCAGCAAATGAATGCCCCAAGCCCACAGGCCCTGCAAAGAGCAAGGGACAGAAGTGTGAAACACAGAACCATGACCATGTCCACATACACCAGCCAGCACTTGGACTCTATGGAAAAGAGCCAGCACTTCTGAAACTTGACACTGCTCAGAGATACACATTCAATTTGAGTGGGTGCCAGTAAATAAATACAAATCTGTTGTCATGGTGTTTTGTAATACTGGCTCCTTAAAGCTGGTAACACTCACCTCCTACTGAAGCAATTTGCCTCTGGGTGCAGCTGTTTCTCAGGCTGCCATATAACCTCCCAACCTGCTGCCCTGCACCTTAACCCAGGCTTAACCCAGGTTGGGAGTCACTGAAGGAATAATAAAATACTGGAATTGTCTTCCTAGGGAGGTGGTGGAATCACCATCTCTGGATATGTTTAAAAAAAGACTGGACTTGGCACTTGGTGCTATAGTCTAGTTGTGGTGTTAGGGCATGGGTTGGACTTGATGATCTTAGAGGTCTCTTCCAACCTCATTATTCTGTGATTCTGTGTGATTCTGAGTCACAGCAGCTCCAGCAGTATGGTGCCACTGAGGTCAGGGCACATGTCCCCAGTCATCCTCCAACAGCTGCTTCAAACCAGGCAGTGGAATCAGTGATGTTACAGAGGTCTCTAAAGTGTGTCATCACGTTGTCATTTGGGCAAGGTCGACACAGAATCTTTAAAAGTGGGAAAAGACCTCCTGAATCATCAAGTCCAACCATTAACCCAGCACCACCACCACGTTCGCCAGCAAGCCCTGTCATCAAGTGCCACATCCAGTCATTGTTTGAATGTTTCCAGGGATGGCCACCACTTCCCTGGGAAGCCTTGTACAGTGCTTTATAACTCTGTCCATGAGAATTATTTTCCTAATATTCAATCTCAACTTTCCCTGGCACAACTTGAGGCCATTTCCTCTCATCCTACCACTATTATCTTGGAGAAAAGACTGACACCTGGCTGCAACCTCCTTCCAGGGAGTTGTAGAGAGTGATAAGGTCTCCTCTGAGCCTCCTTTCTTCTAGGCTAAATGCCCCCAGCTCCCTCAGCTGCTCCTCATCAGAGCAGTGCTCCAGACCTTCTCACAGCTTAGCTGCCCTCCTCTGGATGCTCTCCAGCACCTTTGTTCCTTTGTTGTGCTGCTTTTGGAGGACACATTTCCTCTGCAGCCACGTCTACCTGCTCACAGCTGGTGCCTCCTGCACGGGCAGGTACCTGCTGGCCCTAGATCAGAGCTGCACCCGTGCACCACACCCCGATGCTTCTCCCAGCCAGCCAAGCTGGGTGGCCAAACCTGAGCAGGGAGCAGTTGAGCTCCAGCTGCAGCCTTTCCATGACTGGTAGCACCAGTTGTTCCCTCTTCTTTCTGCTCGGCCAAAAAATTTTTCAGAAAATTTATAGGAATTTCATAACCTCCATAAAATCTGGTTTAAATAAGCCAGTTCAGAAGTTATTAGGGAAAACAAGCACTCTGGCAAGCTTTTAACACACTAACGAGGTCTTCAGCCTCAGCAAACACTTAGAAAGTTGAGTGAACAATTGAACACTGAATATTTTGAACCTCTTAAAATGCAGGTTAACCTGTGCTGTAACGAATGCCCAACGTTATCCCTTTCTAAAAACAGCTCTGTTCTTCTTGCCATGTATTTGTTCTGTGTATACTTATATCAGCTGGAAAAAAAACACTGAACCAAGACATTCCTCCAAAAACCAAGGAACACTTCTGTTTCTAAGAAATTCAAGGCATAAGGTTTTGCATCTCACCCAAGCAATGGAGCCTCAATTCCTTAATGACACGTTGATTCTGTTACAAACAGAAACTTTGACTTCAGCTCCGAGGCAAGGACATGTAACAATGGACTGCATGATGCAGAGGAGAATTTTTCAGCCTCTTCAACTTCAACCAGCATTACCTGTGAGTGATACATTACAGAATTGAATGCCAGAAAAGTGGATTTTAGAATAAAAAGTATAATGTTTCATAATTTGATTTAAATCAATTATACCATCTCTCACTGGAATGCTCATGAGCTTCAGAAATAAAATATATAAATGAAACCAGCTGCTCTGGATACTCTTTCCTTGGGATAGATTTCACTTGAACTCCACCAGCTTTCTTCTGCTGCAAGTTATTGTAATGCAGCATCAGAGTGGAGAGCTGTACAAGTTACTGCAAGGTAAACAGCTTCCATTAAAAAATGCAGAAGATTAAAATCCTTTCCTGCAATGGCTGGCTAAAATCTGAGGAATTATTAATTCCTCTGGGGCTGACAGGGAAACCAAGGTAGTTACTGGCACCTCAGCAAGAGCCATTAATTTATAGCTATTTACTATATCACATAATCTTTCTGATTTGTCTCAGTCTGGAACCCCTCTGTGCCCAACAGCACGGAGGTCTGCAGTGCTTAGAAAGAAGAATAATTACAACTGGAGAAGCACATGCAACCAAAGCTCCATGTTCTTTAATCTCCAAGTCTAATGCATGTGTAGATTTTGGCATCACCCTTAAAATGATTGTTTGTAACTAAATACCATATCTCAGTGCTTAGATACCACGATGACCGACCTTTTCATAAATCAGAATAAATATATAAGGCAAAATCCTGGCTGTGCTGAACTCGGTGGGAGCACTGCCAGCTACTTTAAGGGAGCCAGGGCTTCATGCAAAAGGTTTTCAGCAGCCCAAGCTGTCCAGTGTTTTGGTTGCAGTATTTTCAACTCCATTTGAAGGCCTCTTTTCCCAGCCAGCATCTGCAGTAGCATGACACTGAGATAAAATTGCACACTCAATTCCCAGCCAAAGTAACAGGAGAATATCCTTTGTTAAAATAAGGGGCAATTCCAGCTTCAGTTGACAAATGCAAGGCACAAAATCCTCTGAATTTGTGTAGACTCCCCTGGGTTTTTTCTGTGCCTTATAGCAGACAGGGTCCTGCCCAGAGCAGAAGGGAGCATCCCCACTGGATTTTCATTTTGAAAACAGGCAGAAACAAAACAAAAGAAAACTCCACCTCTCCCCATTTTTTGATCTTTTCTTAAAGAAACAATCATCTTCTCATACAGATATTTATGTATCTTTTTTTAGCATGTTATCTGATTGTCTTCAATTCTTCTGTAGTGTTACCCCAGTTCACTTCAAAGTGAGTAAATGTTTCATTCTACAGCCAGAGTACCCAAAGAGAGGCAAAAAAACCAGCTTGTAGCTGAAAACAAGATTATTTTCATAGCTACTGTGTGCTTAACTTTCCCCAGCTCAAATAACTTAGAGCACAAAAGCAGGTGTCATATGCAATAAGTGGTGATTTAGGACAGTGAAGTGAAATAATGATGTAAGCACTACACTATCAGTCTAACAAACTCCATTTACACTGATATATTTACAATACTTGCATTCCTAAGAAGTCAGTGCCAGAAATGTGTTTGTATAGGATTAATAGTGTCAAATTAATATGCATGGCAAGACAGCAGCTTCTATAACAATAAAAACCAAACTGATTTTAAAATTACTTATGTCTGTAAGTCCAAATGTTCTTGTGAATGAAGAAAGAAAAGGAGGAGGAGACAGAAAAAGACAGAATGAAATGGACTTTTTCATAATGAGGCAAAACAAGCTTAAAAATGTGATTCCCTTCCTTTTCTTGAAAGATTGAAAATTTTTCTAGAATGATTCAAAGTAATCACTAATAAACACAATTCTTTTGGACAGGAAAAGGTTATTACTATAAATACCAACTAGAGAATTATTTTTTTTAAAAAAAACCTAAAAAATGTTCAATGAATGGAAGGATAACTGTAAACAGTGGAAATTTTAACACCAGGAAACAACTCACTCGTGAGAAGACTCATGTTCACAATTTTTGGCACATTCAGTGGATGTCCCACATGGCACAGTGACCTCAGGATCCCTCATCTCTTTACCACTATGGAAAAAAAAAAAAAAAGAATCTAACAAAACTAACAAAATAAGGGCTTAAGGCAAAGTGGGTCAAGGGAGCAGGTGTTGTGGCATATTTTAAGTTAGGATTTCTCCAATGAGAAATGGAAGCATGAGGTTTGACCCCTAACAACAGCAACATCACAGAGAGGGGATGGGAAGGTTTAAGTTTGACTCCCCTGAAATGTGCATGTGACCTGGTAACCCCTGTGAGATAAGGCAGAGCTGAGCTAAGGAGCAGGCAAGAAACAAGCTTAAGGTTTTTGGAAAAAAAGAGACCACTCAAGCAGGTTCTGGAAACTACCTTAAACAAGGATTTACAAACTTTCTCTACAAACAACACTTTCAACAGCTGGGAGAAGTACCCCATCTAAAGAATACTTTAAAATATGAGCCAGTGGGTAGATGGGAATGTCTCCCTCCAAAATCACATTTTATTTCAAATTTCAGCACTGGACACTTTGCCTTTCATATTATCTAAGTAAAATACCCTCCTGGCTTGACTGAGCTGTCTTCTAGAAGACACCCATACCTTCAGTGATGGAGATGGTAATTCAAGAACCACATAGCAGCAAATGATGGCCATTGAAAATATTGCATTTCCTTAAAAAACACAAATAGAAGACTGGGGAATATGGTCAAGAACTGACTTGCAGAGGAATAACCACTAGCAAAACCACCACATGGATTTCATATCCTCTCAGTTTCCTTAAGTGTAATATGAGATATTAAACTTCTATTTCTTCTGGTCTGAGGCATAATAGGAATTATTTTGCCAAAGGAGCTGCAAGGCTGTTTACCTGGCTGTAAAAACAAGCCTACTCTCTCAGAAGGCAGAGCAGTACAGAAATTGAATAAGATCAAGAGAGCATTCAGCATTACACCTAGAAATATACTGTAGATGTAACAGGAGAAGATTGGCCAGATTAGGCACAAATGAAGTAATGTTGATGAGCCTGCTCTCTTGTATTACCAAAGAAAGGGCTAAAGCTAATTCTTAAAGTGACCTATGGGAAAAGCCATGAAAAAAATAACAGATTTAAGGATCCTGCATGTGCCTCTTCTTTTTTTTTTTTTTTTTTTTTTTAAATTTATTTACTCTTTCTTTTTATGAGCCTACAATTTACAGAGAAGCAGATGGACTCCTCTGAGCCCCACATTTCAATATTCACCAACCATCATGGAAAGCTGTGTGAAACACTCCTTGTGCCCTCAGGAAGCTGCTGGAATTTGGAAAGAGAAAAAGCGCACAACTTTATTGAGGTCGGCTCAAGCCTAGAGATTTCCAAGTTGCATGTCTCTGTTAATCAAAGTGACTGTGCCAGCATGATTAGGATACCCACAAAGCCAAGCCAATCAAGCAGCTAACTGAGGGAGACCACAGAGCAGATAGCAAATACCACTGGAGTTGTACATTGTCTCAAAAGATTATCGCTGCAGTTGCTCAAACTCTTGTGACCAACAAGGGATTTCAGTGACTCATTGCTATTGTGTTTCTGCAGCTCAACATTATGTCCCATGCATATTCTGGAGCTCCATAGCACCACATGTGTATAACAATGTGCCACTCTTCATAAAATATCTTTGTGGTAAGAGAAGTACCAAAAATATTTGCACAATAGCAGAATGCCAACCGAGCACTGAACTACATTAAATAACTCATTGGGTGCCATTCCAAAACAGCATCTGCCATGGCCCCAGGAAGAAGCTTTAAAAAATATATAATAAAATAAGAGATTTTTCTGAAAGATCACAGCTTTTAACATACCAAGGAAATTCAAGAACAAATTAACATATGACTCACCTCCCTGAGGTCTATCCCATGGTTTCATTATCAGTCAAGCAGAATCCATTGTTGCAAAAGCAGTTCAAAGCATCCACTCCATCCATGTGCCACGCTGAATACACAGCGAGCCTTCATGTATATACAGCATTGTTAAAAAAGGAGGGTGGCAGGATAACATTTAAAAGGAAAACAAAGAACCCCTCCCACACTGGAGCTGGAAAGGCCAGCAGAGCCCATACACGTCAGTGAGGGCTAGGAAAGAAGATGCTCATTTTTCTGACAGTCTTCAAACTTTCCCAAGAAAACGATGGCACGCAGCTGGGGCACACCAATCAGCTGCTCTGGCAAAGGTCAGCAAAGGGAAGATCCCCTGCTAGTCCAACAGCAGTGGTTCCTTAAATAATCTTGAAACAACGAAGAACATGTGAACGTGAACGCTCCTTCCTCCACAGGGCTCGGGCAGGGAATCAGGGCCCACATAACTCCTGTTGTCCTCCTGAAAATACAGATTCCATGCAGAGCAGAGTGTCTTCTTCGTATCACAGCAAGCAAGCATGCTGAAATGAAAACAACAGACTTAATTGACAACCTGGAAAGGGATCATGGAGGAGTGAGTCCCCTCCAAGAGACAGGGTTTGGGCTCCTGCCACAACTAAAGAGGCAGATGTAGCTTCTGACACTGACAAGCTCTGAGTGCCATATCAGATGAAGGTAGGAGATAACAGGGAAAGCCTTGATACATCAATCATGTCACAGAGAGGTGTCAGGCACGCTAAGAATCTGGCTGAGTTAAGGTGGAAAAAAAAGAATATGATTTTAGGCTTTTACTTGGATAACTAGGGGAAGGAGGGAGGACTGTATTTTCTAATTAAAGTCCTGATTTAAAAAAATGCAAGTGAAGAAGGTGCTCTAATGGTAGATTTTGGCTGCTGAAGAGTGGATGAGCAGTGGGGAGAGCCTTGCAGAGAGACAAGTTTCTAGGGATGCTGCTTCTTCCTCTCCTTTCTCACAGCTGATGACATGACACATCCTTACATGTCAGGTAGGGACTGAACTGAAAATATTCACACCTTTCTCTCCCCATTTTCTTTTTTCCTTTTCAGTGTCCTGCACTGGGTTAGCAGCAACATATGAGGAGCCTTATGGATGTGATGGACACTGGCACCGAGCCATGGAATGCCATCAGACCTTCCCCTCGAGAAACAGTCCTTCCTCTCCTTGCATTCCAGGCACTAACAGAAGACAGTGGTTTAGGATTTCCACGCTCCTAGGGACCCACATCCCTGGTGGAGTAACTGCTCGTCATCACTGACAAGTTTTAGGAAAGCCTAAAATTTGGCAAACCTCTTATGGTGAGAATCTGTTCTCCCTGATAGGTCTTGACAAGAATTATGCAGCTGAAAGGATGGCTATAATAGATTGGAACTTCACAGCCTCTTTGTGGCCACTACCACAGAGCCAGAGGATCCCACTCACAATGGTCCACAAAAAACAACCAAAATATAAAAAGCTTAAAATGAACTCAAACTTGAAAGCATTACTGGAGTTTACCATGAAAGGTGCACTGTGCATATATATAGAACAGGAACCCTGCAACACACAAAGCTTTCTACAGATATTCAAGACACCCTTTCAACTTTGATTCATTTAAGCAAAACATCACTGAAGCAATGTTAATCCTCTTGTTTACAGTTACACCCACGAAAGAATGGGAATTCACAGCTCCAGATCAAACAGATACACTAAAGGGAGCTATTTAACATCACTAAGGATAGCACCCTGTAATTACTGTATCAGGGAGGTTGCATCTTTCAACACAGGTTTTCCTTTTAAGAAGAAAAAAAAAGAAATAGGGAGCTTTATTCAGCTCTGATTTTGCCCCAGTCTGATATCTATTTCAAGTTAAAACTAAGCAAAATACCAATTTATTGACCATGGTTTCAGGACCCCAGACCATCAGAAAACTGTATGAAAGAAACTATATGAAAGAGGCAATACAGCTAAAGCAGCATTAAAGGCTTAGAGCAGTCAAATGCAGCTGTGTACCCAAATATAAATATTTTTTTCTTTTGCACCTGCAAAGCACAACTGTTACCAAGGTCAAGCTGAAAACTGGAGAGTCTTGAGGAGCTCAAGGCAAGCATGACCCTTGATGGTAAGACCCTAAACATCCTACAGTCCATGTGTGAGGTCTTATTAACTTTCACAAAGTATTTTTTTGGGCAATGTAGGTGCCAGCTTTTCTTATCCTGCATTCGCATCACCATCAGGAGGTGGCTTTTCCAAGCAGCCTTAGTCTTAGGAGGTAGAGTGCCTTAGTTATATGAAGTATATGTCCCAAAATGCAAATCTGGGCTTTTTGTCACATTGAAAGCATTTCAATAGAATCTAGGCTTGGTGCTTCAGTTCTAGTGGCAGTTCTAAGTTCAACATGAATGCCAGACTACAGAAAATCCTCTAAACTATTTTAAAAGGAATTATTTAGTTGATATTCCCACTGAAGTTTGCAGTTAATCAATTATCCACAAGAATTCACCATGAAGTCCTCAAGATTTTGTGAACCCGTTCAATAAGAACAGTTTAATACAAGTGCAGGATTCCTGGTAGCAGAGAATTTATTCATATCTTGATATTTTCCCTAAGGAAGAAGAAAAATAGAAGGAAACCTGTTCCTGTGAAAACAAATGGATTTTGCTAGCAAGTTCACTCAAATGATCCCTGTTGCATTAAAATCCCACTAATGCAACTCCCCTGTGCCCTTGAGAAACCCCATCCAGTTTTAGCAGCTGAAGCATTCAAGATCTACAACATAAAGCAATTGGATTTTGAATGCAGGTTGCTTCATTTTAAAACATTACTGCTCTTTGATGTTTATCTGCTTAAGAGAGTTTATTGCAGCTAATTCACAGCAGGAGTGCCCTGTGGCATCCTCAAAAATTATATTAAAAATATAAAAGATAAGAAAGGAAAACACAATAATTATATAATCTAATTTTGTATGGCTACACAACAAAAATTAAATCCTAATTTTGTAATGTATATGCATAGAACTATTTCTGACACATACCAAAAGCATGAAGCCATCATACACAGGCCTTTTATTGGAAAGTCTGACAAACTGAAACAGCAAGGGACTCAATACCATATTCGTTAGGTTTCAAACTTATTTAGAAAATGAGTTGCAAGGATAAGCCAGAAACATATGGATGGCAGGTTGTTACCCACAGAGTTAATGCACATATTTTTTGATGAACTAATACTCCAACAACTGCTGCAGTCACTCCCCTGCACCACTTAAATTAATTCATGCCAAAAAATGGACCACTCTGGTGCATGGCCTGGATTGCTCAAGCTGTCCAAAAAGCACTAGCAAATGTAGAGAGAATAAAGCAAAGCCATTAAGACCTGAAAACTCCTTTGTGCCAAGCCCATGGAAATGTATATTTAGCAAAACATGAACATCATCACCATGCTTTTATCTTTAGCTGTATCTTTTGAAGGCAGAAACTTTCAGGCATCATCTTGAGTTGCTTCCCGAGTAGCAAATTTGGTCCAGCTGCATTATAGATCATTTATTATGGATCAGCTTATCTGTAATTTCACACACAAGAATGAAAGAGTGTCATTCCATACTAACACTGCAAGTAGAAGCAACATTTGTGGAATTGAATTGCAAAGGAGTTTTCAGAAATGAAAGCATCAACTGAGAGATCTTCCATTGAGTCACCCCTTTCAAAACAACCCTTCAAGAGTCCTTCTGAGATGCTTTCCAGAGGTTTTAGGATTAGATTGAATTTTCCTAAAGCCTAAAAGTTCTTTTGGGGTTGGTGCCTTCACTACACAGTCCCACATTTAACCAGAAGATCTGCAATTCTTGTTATTCCACAGGACTGGTAAACCTAGAAAGTTTTTTCAGAGAAGGGAAGAGTTTAAAAATTATCTATCCCAGATGCAGTAGCTGGAGAAAAATGGGTGATTCCAAAGGATAAATGAGAGCAGATATCCAGGTTCCTGTTTCTGCTAAAATGAATGAGATGGATTCACCAGACATTCAAAGGTCAGCTCTGAGCTCCTGAGTTTCAGTCTGAGACCCACATGTTGGGATCAATCCAAATGCCTTGCCAGGTCAAGGAGGGTTAAGAATAAAGACTAACTCTGTAGAAATACAAACAAAACCAAAGATGCACCTCCGCAATGACTGAAATTTCAGATAGAAATGTAGTTCAATAGAAAAAGGGGATGTATTTCAACACACCTGAATGGGCTCAGGTAGATCCCCTAGGAACCAAGTTCTTTGAAAACAGACAAAGGGGTCTTGATTTAAACAACTTGCGAATGCTGGAACCCACCTGAAAATCTTATGATAAACAGCCTAAACAAAACAAACCCAAAAAACTTTAGAGTATTTCTTCATTTGAAGAGAAACTGCCACGGACTTCATTACATTCTCAGCTTGTCCTTTTATTCCAGTGTTGAAGACTGCTGATGCAGTAAATCCTGTCTAGAAAAATAAAATAAAGCCAACACAGACAGGTACCTTTCAAAAGAGGCATGCACAGGCAGAGGTTCTGAGGAAAGAGCCTTGTTCCAGCTATTACACTCAACCTATGTGCCTCCTTTTTCTGTTAATATCTAGTCTATCTCAAGGCCAAGCAAAACTGAAGTATTTTATGAACTCCCAGGTAAAAATCCTCTTCATTTTCATGGCCATCAACCAAAAATGAGATGCTCCACTTTGCCAGACACACTGAAAACAGTGCTTTCAGACAAAAAAATATCCTTTGATTACCAAAATTTTAGGCTTAAATATTTTCTTCTCCAAAGTTATAACTTGATGGAGAAAACCACAACAGACTAATTCTAAAACTGAGTAACATTTCCTCCTGGATGGGCACCTCTTAGAGCTCAGAGCCTGTAAAATGCAGGTGGGTGGATCTAAGACCCCTGACTACAGCTCTAAGTGTAGCTTTAGCTCAACAAATTGACCAAAAACCACAATTGTTCTGCAGAGGAGACCTGCAAAGCAATTCAATCCTATCCAGAGGCTTTTGATTGTCCTCTGCCACTGTTTTGCTAACATCACACACATATACTGGCTTGTTAGTGAGGGTTACCCCTGCACAGAGCTGCTGCTGGCCCGAAATTTCTGCAGAAGATGAGAATTTAGGGAATTTACACAAGTGCAATTTAAATGTACATATTTCCTCTGCAAGCATCCAACTCAGATTTGAAAAGAGAGACAAATAAAATCGAAGATCTGCTGCGCTTAACATTGCCTCCATAAACAAAGCTGTGAATGAAAGACTCCAAACCTGTATTCACTATTTTTATGTAGCTTCTATTTCATGACCATCAACAAGGTATTCCTCACACATGAGGGAGAGAGGGAGAAAAGGATTTAATAAATAACAGAGAGGAAAATCCTGATGACGTTAATCTCAACCACAGGGAAACAATAGTTTGAAAGCACGCCAGGTCTCTCTCCAGTCCCAGGCTGAAGCCCTGTATCCAGCTCATTAAAGTAAATAAAATATAACAGTGAATGAAAAAGAAAAAT